CTAAACCCTAAATCCTAAATCCTAAATCCTAAATCCTAAATCCTAAATCCTAAATCCTGAACCCTAAACCCTAAACACTTGACACTTAACACTAAACACCGAACACTAAACACCCAACCCTAAAAACAGAACACAGAACACGAAACACAGAACATAAAATCTTATCTACACTTTCAAACTTAAATTCTTTAATTCAAAGCCCTAAAAAAATCAATCATAACCGATTAAAATTAAATCTTAAACCTTATACACTTTGAGCTTAGCAGTGCTCTCCACCTGAATTGATTTGTTGGTTTTGCTGCTCTTGTTGCCCTTGCACTTACTCATGATTTATGGTGACTGGCGCGAACGGTTTGGCGTCGTGATGCTAAACTGAAAGTTGTGAGTTCAATTCCCACTAAGGATGGTGAGTGCGTGTTTAACCTTTATGGTTAAGACTGCATATGCCTGCATATTAAAGTGTGTACTTTTTTTAGATTCGCAATGACTGGGTTAGAGTGTTCCACATACCTCAGGATGGGTTGGTAGCTTTAAACTTAGGTTAAGTATTTTGTGTGGACCCACGCGCAACTGCGCGTGGGTCCACACAATTGCGTCTAACATTAATACACTTTACAAGTGATAACGTCTTCATTATGGCATTCGACAATTTACAGTTGGAAAACACATCCACCACCATATTTACCTGACCCGGCTTATTCTAAACCCTAGAATTACATCGCGTAGCTAAGCAGCACGTCTTCCAGGGCACGACTTACTCGTTATTTTTAATAGTGTGTTCCAAGAAAATTTGCTGTTCATATCAATATTTTTGTATCAATGGTGAATAGCGTAATATATTAAAATTTGGCAGTATATCTAGTGTCATGGTTTGATACATTTTTCGATTGCAGATCATAAGACGATACGCCAAGTCTCAAATGCCTTTCTGCGTTTTTTTTGCTAAAACTTGTCCGAGACCGAAACAAAATGGCACATTTTACTGAAATGACCCACAAAACAGGATGGCATTTCTGTCATTTTGTCTCTTGAAAATTTAGATATAATGTTTGCACACTTTACAGATACGCATATACTTGCGATCCACCTTGAACAATTACGGCCAGTTTAGATCTCGTGTTTAATAAAGAAGATTTTCTCGCTATAGTCGGGTAGTTGAAGGACTGTCGCGATACCCATACAAGCGTATATGACAAAAAAGAATATCGTTATCCTCGCTAGATTCCCTTCGTCAAGTGATCATAACACTAGCCTATTTTGCATGCAGTAACGATGTAGTAGTGATCCTGCACATGGTCGGAGACTCTGGTGTGCTTTATCCGAAGCCCTTGAAATGCTTGATCCAATGGCTGCTTAACTTCACAAAACAGACGGGATAACGCAGCATGCTTTATCTTGCTTGCAACCTTCCTTTTTTCTTCTTGGACAGTACCTGTCACTCCTGCGGCAATCCCATCGATGTCTATAAAGAACCGACAGGTAGTTCCTGTCGTGACTCCTGATCTTCGATCAAAATCCAGACGTCCAGACAGAGCATCGGCGTAAAAGCTTACTTATGGATTGGAAGTTTACAACGAAGTTGTTCCCAGCAAAAATGGAAACTATCGGGTCATTCTTTGCGGTAGGGAGATGAATTTACAGCTATTCACAGCGATGCGTGATCACCGTATATAGCGAACTGCTCCTCACCAAGCAAATAGACTCGGCACTTGTCGAGGGTGTATTTTACGATACATTTTTTTTGCTCTCGTCATCGTGTTGCATAAGTACACACCCAAATATATTACTCGCATCGCATACTATAAGCAATGGCTTCTGGTTATCTGTGAGAGTTGGGGCAGCATTTTTCCTCTTCACTTTCTTGAAACACTGCCTGATTCTCCTCAGATATCTCCCACTTCATTATCCGTTTCAAGAGACGTCTGCACCAACGCATCGGAACGGCGTGTATATTCGTGTGAACACTTAACCAAACCTGACTACTAACTTAATTGTTTCCCACTCTCAAGCTTCGGTCGATCGTCAATTATTTTGATTTTCTCAGAATCAGCTTGGACGCCATTTTTGCGTAAGAAATCAGCGAGTAAGGAGATGTCAGATGAAAAGATGTATTTCTTCAGGTTCGAGTAAATATATTTCCTGCATAACTTTGAAGACTTGCCGATGATGTTTAATGTGAGCATCAACATCCATCTTTTTCCCCGACGCCTTACCATAAACCACTATATCTGTAAAGTAGTTTGATGCAAATTTTTTCAATGGACGTAGTACTTTCGTGGCCATTTATTGAAAGTTGCTGGTGCGTTCTTTAAATCTTGTGGTATTGCCATCCATTCCCACGGTCTATCACCTAGGGTGCTTACTGCAATAAGAGGCACATTACTCTTACGCAAACGAATTCAAAAGAAATCATCTCTAGCACCAATGATGGAACTACCAACCATCCCATCAAGATTCATATCTCGTTGCTGGGCAGGTATTGTCGCATTGATCAATTTGATGAAGGTGTGAACAATGCACCTGCTACCTATGGTTTTTTTGTACAAAGAAGGTTAGACTATAGTGCGGAGACTTGCGGTCTACCTTTTTTTAATTTCGCGAAGAGCTCATTTAACGAATTGATTTATTTCTTTGAAGCGGTCATTGACTTGTGATATAGTTCTCCGGACACAAAAGCATCGATCTCGTGAATATGTACTGGCTCGATTCCTCCGCCCCTTTGTCTGAAAATATATCAACATATTCCTTGAAAATGTCATACACGGGAGTTTGTCCTCACGACTGCGCATCACAGCTCACTTCCATATTTTCTATATGTCAATATATTTCTAGATAAGTTCATTCACGGTTCTTCCCTAAAGCGTCTGAAGACTGCTCATCAGAAAAAGCTATCCTTCCAAATCTTTCCACCCAAGAATTTGGCACTGTGAATGACATCGTCGGGAGCTTTTTCTACCCTTCATATTTGCGAGAGAAAAAATTCTCTGGCTAAGCGTAAGCAGCTTCTTCGCTTATCACGAAAAGAAAATAGATTTCGAACCAGACTTCACAAATTTAACACTTAATCGTGACGCACTATCTTGATGTCACTATCTTCATTGTACACTACGACGCTAACATAATCTATTGAACTGGTTCGTTATATATTCTCTCTGAATTTTGCTTTAATTAACATACACAACACGCACTTAGGCATCGTTACTTCTGATAATTTGCCATGCAAACAATCATGTATTTATTCGAATTCGACAGGTCTAAACCTTGCCTTTTCACCGCTTGCGACCGGACAAGGTTTTTCGACGCATCAGTGTCTACATGATCCTGTAGAGGTTCTGAGTAACATCAATTCTTAAATTCATTGACTATCATGGCTGGCTCTTGCTGGACTCGCTCACATCTGCACATCGAGTACATCGGGGCAAGACTCCTACACTTCCTAAACGTTCACAGAACTCTGTATTTGCCAAGTAGAAAACCACACCTCTACTGAGCATGCCTATATCTTACTATCAGTAACGCTTGATCCATCGGCTGTTACCTAATCGTTTTGATCGGAAACCATGTGAAGCCCGCATATCATCGGGCGGTAGTGCTTTTGTTTTGTTGGACGAGCGATGGCGTCGCTAACTTTGGTTTGCATGCTGTTAAATTCTTCTTACATCGCACGCTCTATGATTTCGTTCACCGTCTTCGGATATTTGTAGAACATCTGGTTCCAAATCGGATCGTGGTCTAAATCTGTCATGAATGTAAGAACTTTTGCTGAGGCTTCAACAGGTTAGTTCGCAAAATTTGAAACCAGATTCACCGGCTGCGATATCTACCCGGGTGAAGTTATTAAAGTTGCTCTTCAGAGGCTTAAAAGACTTCTGCAGCCTTTACCTAAAGTCGACCAGCAACTTTGCTCGGCTAAACATTTTCCAAACGTCTCACGCTTTGCTCGACCCACAAGGTTAAAAACCTAGAAAAAAACTGTTGAAGTGGGTCCACGAACTGACTCGCATTAGTTACTGCAATTAACGTAACAAATCATATCGCCATATGCCGATCGTCAGACGAGGCGTTTTTACTGTCATAAAATGAGTTGCGGCTTGTCAGCGGGATCTCATCATCTCGTAATGTATGAAGCTCGTACCTGCATTTCTATTCATGTTCGGTGATGCTGATATCAGTGGGCTGATCACAGCCACCTCACCGATAATCAAACCCATACGCTCGAGGGATTTTCACTCGTGATGCATCAAATGAGGGAGATGCTCATTCAGCATCCTCGCTCTCTCCAGAAATAGGACCCATCAGCATTTCTATCCCCTCCATGGGATCTCACTGTCGGGCAGTGTCTCGGGATATCCGCGCCCGCTCCAAATATAGCATATGGTCATTGAAATGTCTTTAAGGAGCAACCAGGTATAGGAGGTCATCCGACAGCCACAAACATTGCTTGAATTATTATCTCTTGAAGTTTTGTCATCACTATAAATACCGATGTTGTAGTTTTGATGAATATTAGTGATGACATCATGTAAAATATACCTTTCGTACAGTTGTACAGTGTTGTAGAATGGCACAAGTGCATTAACTTTGCACTGCTTAAGCACATAAGATAACAGTACATGCCCCGTTAAACTCAAAGCGTCAGACTTTGGTATATATCTACCAGATCCTATTTACGCACATATGTGAAGTGACGTGCCCGCAGATCTTATGCTTTAGATACGATCAAGTTTAAATAATATCTATAAGCAGGCTCTCTTTTATTGTCCCATCTTAGAATTTTGAAAAATGACTAGAGCATCTATGATTTTATGTTTTTGGTTCGAATATCCAAGCACTTGGAACACGATCAGCAAGAATTAAAGTAAACACGTATGCTGTTGAGCCCTGCCTTTCGAAATAGAGTCTACATTTCTTGCCCTATCGTATAGCACAGCTTCGCGTATTGAAGAGTACTGCAGCATAAAAATCATGCCACCGTGTAGGCCGATGTTGAAGACATTTGTGATATCTTTTTGTAACGGGAATGGCCCGTTCCTATAATTTTTATAAATACTGAGGAAGACTTAAATCAGTTATCAAGCTTCACCGCGCTACTCGCTTCCAGCGGGCCGTCGAATAACGCGAAATAGGAGGAAGGTGAAGTGACATTTATTATGGCGAATATGCCATAAACCTCCTGAACTGATAAATGCCTCCAATTCTGACAAGACAGAATTAAGAAAATATAGAAATATCGAGTTAATGTTAGTTACAGACATATGTATGTGGCTCACACAACATGTGTAATGAGACTGATTCCAGTACATTTGTTCTGTGACTTTATTAAATGTAAAAAGGACACGTAGATACTAGCGGTAGTAAATCTGAGTCTAATATGATCATAAAGTCATACTACATGAACAAGTATATGTACTCTCCTAGTAAGGTAAATTTGTGCCCGCGCTACACTAGGCCTATTACGGACGTAACTAGGAATGACTTAAATAAGGTAAGAAGATGCGAACACCTGCCGTGCTTCATATGGAGATGTTACTGTTATGAATAACCCTAGCGCGGAGCTTTTTTTGACAGGATGTAATGTCTCGAAAGCCCCAAATACTCAATTTAGCTTCCTTACTAAAAGCAAGGAGCCGGTTTCGAGTTTGTAACGGCCATCCAACCGATTCGAGCCTCCTACAGGACGTCCGACAAAAATTACGACCAAAACAGACGCACGGTAAAAATCCTTAGGAGTCAACGCGCTTCGGCAATTAAAAAGCTCAGAGGAGCTGGACATGTGGACTGCCAGCACTGCTCGATCAACATGGTGCTTATCTTTGCATTCAAGTATCAGCCCATCATGACAGTATCTTAAAAAAAAAATAGCGGTGGGCTACCCTTAATGTGATCTCCTATATCCGCAGTCCGAGCTTTAATCATGGCAAAAATATCCGGCGTCATTGACGTGTGAAACTTTGAATATTGCCGTCGATCAAGCGCTTGAATAGTGCGGCGGGCCGATTTTTATAGCAGAAAACGATAATCCGATAATGATGTAAGTTTGGAACCTATTTGATAGCTGCAAAAGCGGGCTGATGGGTGTGAGAGTGAACGATTTCAATACGAATACGAGATGTATTTTCTCTTTAACGTGGATCTCGTACTTTGATCACATGTTCAAACATCCAGGCGAACGTTTGCTTCGTAATGAGAATTTTCAAAGCCGCGAATTGATAGGTCAACCAGTCGTCCTCACACAATACCCGAAGTAAGATGTCCAGTCATTCGCACTCTCACCAGGTCGCAGTTTAGGGTTTAGGGTTTGAACCCTAGACAAGTTGGGTGCTGTATTTGCATAGGGTGTCGATTAATGAAGCCACTGATAAATATAGCAAGAAGTGATATTTTTGAAGACTATCAGCTATTGGTATTAAGCCTTCGTTGTGAGGCTAGTGTACACATATTGCTCAAACAACGACCTGTTAGTCCACACAAAATCTGTCTGAAGGCTGCGCCGTGGCGTACCAACCGTCCTTTGTCGGTTGCAGTCTCTATTGGCCAATTTAAAAAAGTGACATTATAATTTATTGGCTTGGATGAGTGTTGTTGCGACTTCAAATCCTGTCAAGATTCGGAGGAGGTATCTAATCTAGGTCTACTTTATCCAAATTGGCACTGATCTCGACGGCACCGTGGCGCGAAACCTGATCGCATTCTACTTAAAAAACGGACAAAGTGTGCACGCGATGGTGAGCTTGTACGTTATGTGGATTTAAATCTAGGAGTGACCTCAATCGGAGATATATATGACAATCGCACAATTCCGATGAGAAAGGAGGACGCGGTGGGATGGAACTTGGTAAGCTACTTGAAATACTATAACTTAAAATCTTCTCTGTCAACAGAGAAAAACGCTTTTATGACGCTGGTAAAAGATTTTTAGCGCTACTTGGCGGCTATGCATGCTATGCTTTACTGTGAGATATTCAAGAAAAGCCGTCTTCGACGTTGTTCTTTCTCCTATAGCTCATATTGGAATGTGTATGTCGTTGCCTCGCGCAGTTTGTGGTTCTTTTAAGATTAGCGCGGGTCACGAATCCTGCTATGGACTACACTATTGTTCTTCGACATCAAAGACAAGCTCAACAAAGCTTGGATTAGCATGTTGGCGGACTGTGATCATGTATCATAAAGAAGAATAGTAATCTTATGCCAGGTCCGGTATCGTAGTAGTGAAAAAAGGTTCTCGAAACCTGTGGGGTACTATCCGCACCAATGCATGAAGCAGGATTAAGACAAAAATATATGTATCACTGTTTGTAACGGGTTAATGTACCCAAGGTGTATCGAAGTTATACGTACCTTCGTATGATAGGGCGGCTCACACGATATAGTGTGACGTTACAAAGGTGTGGATTACACGAGTAGTGTAATCACAAAATGGTGTGGCTACTCCTTAACAAGAAGCCACCACGTGGCAGGACTGCCAGTATTAATGCATTTTTATTAGGTTTTACTATATTACTTACTAAAACTTAAGGCTGTTAATATAGGCGGCTCTGTCGCAATTAAAACAATTAAATATAATTTCATTTCTAACAGAAGAGGTCCTCTACCTTGGGTAAGGTTTTAAGTACCCTTTGGGGCAGCGGATTGCGAACCGCTTCGTTCGTATTGTTTCTTGTAAAGAACGTAAGGTCGGTGACCCTAGCTTCGCTTTCTCTATGGAGAGAGCTACAGCAGCCTCGCTGCACTTTGTAGCACTCGTGGTCAATCTACGACTGAGTCGTTACGACAGATCCTCTGTGAGGATGGATCAATACTCCGTTCTGTCCCCGAGCATGCATGGCGAGCCAAATAAGCTGATGTCCCTGCTGGGCCCTGAGGGCGTGAAGCACCTCGTTGCGCAAGGGCCCGCGGCCATAAGTGCGTGCCTAGAGGTGTATTCAAATTATGAAAATGCTCTGTTAGAGAACTTACAGCAATAAATGTCAGCGTCGACGACGGGTGATTTCTTCCAACCCAGTCCGCTCATGATGAGGGTTGGGCCCTTCGAGGGTAAGGATGGAGAGTATCCCCTGCTCTGGATAAGAGAGGTCGAGATGACTATGGCACTCGCTATGCACCAAAACAAGCAACAGCGCGTGGCGCTAGCTATCTCCAAGCTCGGGGGGGGGGCTAAAGCGAGAATCATCCGAAAAGTATGGTGATTTGTTTGAAGATGCATTCCCCTCCTGGAAGGAGCTGAAGTGTCAGCTTTTGCGAGTGGTCTCGCCGCCTAACCAGGAATATTGCATGCGATCGCGGTTCCTTGCTGCCCGATAGCGCAAGTATGAGTTGGTTTACTTTGTCCAGGAGTTGAGCACTCTCACTGCCGGTATGGCAGCCGATCCTCTCCGCGAGGCGGTCGCAGTGACCGTCCTTATGGAGGGCCTCCGCTCTGGCATGACCAGAATGGAAGTCTTTCGTGTGCATCCGTCTTCTTCTGAAGAAGCGGGGAGCGTGGCATTGAATATTAAATTCAACTTTAAGTCGGCGCGACTTGGTTGTAATGCACACCCTCAGAACTCGTCGAGAGGGCCTGATCCGATGGATGTCCAGCTATGTGAGAAGGAGGAGGGAGTGCTTCGAGCTGCTGAGCAGCGTGCAAACACGTGACAGTGTCTTGTCCGTGGAAACACTCGTCATCTTCTGACTGGTTGTCTCCTGCATTAGGCGTGTATAGGTCCGGCGAACTGACATCCCGCTTCTAACCAGTCTGCTATGACGTGGGGGAACGAGAATACCCAGTAGGCACGGAGCTTCTACTGGGGAAGAACTGAGATTTGTTGTGCCTCAAAGAGCTAGATAGCAGCAGGGTCTAGCTTCGAAGAGCTTGGTGCTCTTGAACACGGGAAGTGTGTGCAAGCTGGGCATGCTGGTCGTGCAAGCGATCTTCTATGGCTTTGAGAAGCCATAGAAGATCCTTATCAATTAGCAACTATGCTTGACGCTCCACAATCGAAAGAAGTCTGCTGTATGTTGAGGCGCTGGAAGCGCGGCTTTATGACACCGTCACTGTTCGCTTAGCGACGGGGACTTGTATCACTGTGCCCAGGGTCTCTGTGAAACTCGGTGTCATGTTTCTTGACGTCGATAGCGTGGAACGATGCATAGTCTTAGACTTGGATGCGAGGTATGACTTTATCCTCGGTATAAATGGTTAGAACACCAAGAGCTATAGATGAATTGGAGGTCAAAGATCTTGGGCGCTACGCGCATATCTCCTGGTGGGGCTTTGGTGAGTCATGAACCCATCTCTGCTTGGAAGTAAACACGGTATGGCGCGGGCACCGGACCGGAATGGTCAGAGTATTCGCGATATTGAAAACCGAAGGTGTATCGGACAGGAGTCCCTATCATGGCTCGCGCGGCGAACGTAGAGTGTACTGAGCGCTACGCAAGTATCGAAGCAGTCACTGCAAGCCAAGAGTGGCATGTTCTGCCAAAGACTGAGGCATCTAAGGCGATGCATTTGTGATAAACGTAGAGTGGCACGTTATCTACGGGACGAAGACTGCAGAAATATCAGTTCTTTGTCGGATGTTATTAACAACATCAAAGCTCCAGAGGAACAGGGAGTGGGGACACTGGACAATGCCGAGTGCGTGTTCCCACTAGTCTCGATGAGATGTAAACAGGAGACGGTGGAGCCGTATCATATCTGCAAGACACAGGGCGTCGAATCTGATTCAGGGTGTATCTACTGTAGATGATAGCGCACAGCTATACACCCTTATCAACGGTATGACGAAAGACGATGACTTCAACCTCGAGGCTATTCCTGCGGTAAACGCTCGTTTTGAGCTACAAGATGTCCTTCGAAGAGGTTGACGGTGCCTTGAAGGCAGGCGAACTAGCCGAGGTGGTCATTGTACGAACGAACGAGCAGATTAACTTCTAGTCGCTTCTGGATGAAGCTGTACTAATAGGTTGCGGAGCGCACGAAGTGGATCGTCAATCCTGAATTTCCCCTCGGATCCGCACTGTTCTTTGGTAAAGGAATTGCAAGACGTCGTCTCCAAACCCGCCGTCGATCCGACCTCAGACTGAGGTTTGCGTCGTGAGATTGACCTGGTACCGGGAACAAAATACTGCGTGACACGACAGTGGTCTCTGCTCAAGGAGCAGTGTATCATCATTGACGCCTTTCCGTGCACGACGCAGGAATGGTGCGTGAGAGCAAGTCCCTCCATTTGACACCCACGTTTTGTGTCTGAAAGCCGAACGGTATGTGGCGTATCGTTCATGCTTACAATCAGCTAAACGCTAACACCATTCCGGTGCAGACGCCGATTCCAAGAAAGGTTGTTCTCCAGAACAATATGGTTGGCTGTACAAAGTACAGTGCACTCGAATTGGTTGATTGTTATTACCAATTGCTCATGAAAGTGAGTGATGTTCCGCTGAAAGCGGTGAGTACTCCGGTCAGGATGCTCTGGGTTTGGGTGATGCCCCAAGGGCGGTCAAATGTCCCAGCAACATTTAATTGTCTTGCGACGCAAGTATTCAGGTCCCATCGGGCGTATGCATAGCCATACTTTGACGACATCTTTGTCCATAGTCGTGCGGTGCATGGGAGAACAGACGAGGAAAACCACATCGTCTATTTGAGAGCGGTGTTCGAGTGCATGCGCACGATTAAGCTGTATGCTAATGCCAATAAGTGTATCTTCGGCGCGGAAGAAGTTTTCTTTTTTAGGTGCTATATTGGGAAGCGTGGCCTTCGAGCGGGTTCCGCTAAGGTCAAGGCCACTGCGGACCGTTCGGTTATAAAGAGCCAAATGGATTTGCGCAAGTGGCCTGGCCTCGCCAGCTACATTCAAAAGTATAGCGCAAATTCGGTCGAAATGGCACGGCAATTGTCGAATCTCCTTAAAAAGGATGTAGAATGATGTTGGGATATCGAGCATCGGGGGGCT